GAGATGCAACCCCATGAATATTGATATAATTTAGACTCTTATGTTTTAACATTTTTTTAATTTACTCGACTATTGGTATATATGTAAAACATAARGAACCAAATTAAAACTTTTCAAACTATAGAGACTAAATTGAAAAATACTCGAACAAATAGGAACTAAAAAAGGTACATATTGCCCATGGGCTTTGGGACAGGCCAAGAGCAAGTTGCAGCTTAAAGCCATGGCAGGATAAACTCTCAACTTTTATGATCCTGATGCCTTTTGTTTCTCCTAGCTTGCCTATAATATATTCCAACAGATATTTAGTGTAGCCTATACCTTATGAAATTGTGTCGTTTTCTTTACAGAATATAATGTGAAAATGTGGTGAATTCTCTCAATCTTATATATGATGCAAAAAGTTCCTAGTCAATATAATCAATTATAAAATTCTTAGATTGAATAAAAAAATACAACCCTTTAGAACTATAATATTATAAAACAAGTAGAAGATAAAAATTTATTTTTTTGAATATTTTATTTACTAGCCTTTTGAGTTGAAGACTTCCCATATTCTGAATTCAAACTTATTAATTAATTTTATGATTTGGGATTCGTGTTTTTTTTTTCAAGTATAATAAGTGAGGGTGGGAGATTCAAACTGATGATCTCTTAATTAGAGGCATGTGTCAATTAYAAACTCATGTTGGCAGGTTTAAGGATTCGTGTTTCGTTTAAAATATCTTGTTTTTTTTTAATTCATATTAACTTTTGTTGTGGTAGGTATGAATATCTGTCTTTTTACTCCTGAATTTCTTTTTTTTTTCCGTGCTTTGCCTATTTTTGGTTGTCTTTTACATRATATTATAAGGTAAGAGATAATTAAATTACTATCCTGATAATTTTGATATGAATTTAACTCTAAGTTCTAGTTTTTACTTTCCAATTTCCTTTTTGCAAAAAATGAAAAACTAAAATGTTTTTTCATTATTAAATCATATCCTTCAAATATCTACATTTTTTTTTCCGAGTACTTCAAATATCTACAATTTTATCTCATGAAAAAGGCACTGAAATCACATGAAAAGTTACTTTGTAATACATGTCGATAGTAATAATGGGAAACGGTACCTGAAGTATCTCCACAATGGTATGATATTGTTCGTTTTGGACATAGCCCTYACGACTTTGCTTTTCATTTCACCAAAAAGGCCTCACTTCAATGGAGATAATTGTTCTCTTTTCTATACCTATGATCATTCACTTCCTTAGCTAATATGGGACTTTGTTTGCACTCCTTACAAACCCAACAAAAATTCGAAGTGGGCAATCTCGATTCTCTTTCCATCTTCATACCAAAAAAGAAGAAGAAGAAGAAAAAAGAGAGAGAGATTCTTGGTATATGATGATGATTTCATTTCGGTTTTCTGTTTGCCTAAAATGTTTAAGGTCTTATTGTACAATTCTTTATCTTAAACTCTAATGAATGGCTTAAATGTCTGCCCCAAATGGGCTAAAAACTTGGAGAGGGCTAAGATATATATTTAGAGGCTCTATGGCCATTTTTGTATTATTTGTGTACATTATTTGGGATTGTTTGGGTATTTGTAAGTAAACAAAGTAACAAAGTTTAAATGTGTGAAGTTTAATATAATGACAACTAAACATATTTTGAATTAATGGAGTTACAAATAACTTTTTGGGGTGAGTTTCTTTGTTAAGGATCTCACATTGATAAAAGAAGGGAACTCTAAGCAAAATATTGGTGATAAGTCAGAGGAAGGCGAGGATGATGTCAAGTCATCATACACCCCTTATGTCTTGGACAACACATATGCTACAATGGCTGGGACAAAGGGTCGTGATCTTGCGAGGGTTAGTCACTCGAAAAACTCATCCTCAGTTCGGATTGTTGGCTGCAACTCGTTTCTTTAATTSGTTTGTTTCTTTTAATTGTATAGTTTTATCTCACTATAACAAAAGCTATTTTTTAAAATYTACAATATATCATGGTATTGTAATGAAATGATATTATGTCTTAGTTACCCAACGGGATAAAAAGATATGAACCCTCATAAAAGTTGGAAATATGTGAGCCACTTGAGAGTCATCTTGTTCATGGGGGAAATCATGGGTTGGCCTATAAGCTTGGAATGTTTTTTATGGAATCCAACTCTGAAAATTTATCTTAATCCACATAGTCCTAGCTAAGGATAGATCAAACTCAACTCATAAATATTTGAGTTAGTTTTTAGTTCCAATTATTAAGCTATTTATTCATTTTTTTTTTTATATCTGTGAGTGTCTAGGTCTAACATGTAGGTAYCTAGATTAATCTCACGAGACAACCGTTTAAATCTACTATATTTTGTTGTCAAATCATTTATTCAAAATTTTGTTCTAACAAAATGGTAACAAGTCRTTAGCTCTTAAACATCTATCGTCTACTTATTTTCAAATTACGTAAGTTTAACTTAGTGTCTATTTGTATATTTGGAAGAATTATACTCAATAAAATATTTTCTAAGAGTTAATTATCGAATGGAATAGCTAGATATATGAGCAAAAAGAGACATTCTCTTGATTGATAATAAATTTGAGTTGATTTTTTGTAGTGCCTAGGAAATGGCGGCTCTTTGGTCTTCATGCCCCTATACTTGGAGGATATGCACATTGTCTCCGKCCCATGTGGYTTGAACTCAAGATCTCAAAGTTATTCCTTCAGGCCCTAAGCCACCCAAACAATCCCTTARAGACATAAATTTGAGCTGATTTGATTCTTGAAACCTTAATTTTAAGAAAATTTCAAAGAAATCAATTGAAACAATGCATATATTTTCAATTTACTTGAATCAACCAATCCCATATATGATTTGGGTTGAAGTTATTAAAATTTTTGGATCATTATATACATACTTCCTTGAAAGTTACAGAAGAACATCAAATATTAAGATTATATATTATGTTTTAAAAGAATGGCTTAGGTTTTAATAACCTTGACAAAGGAAAAAATGAAAGGAAAGGAAAAAGAGAGAAAGGGACATTAGTGCACTAGTGAAAGGCATTGTACGATCAATGGGGATTGATTCTTGGTTTGTGCTTTTTGGTCCAAAACCAGCCCCCATGGACGAGGCCGACATAAGCTTCCTCCTCACACTTGGGCGAATTTTATTTTATATGAGCCTTTCTCATTTGGTAAGTAATTGCAAAGTTACAACATAAAGCTTAACGTTTAATTGTTAATTAAGACATTGTAATATATATTAACTTTTTCTGGAAGTTTAATGTTMAAATCTCTCTTATTAAGAYCAAAACTAGAGGAGTAGCTCATCTATGGATCCCAATTTTAGACCGAATGCTCATTTGAGTTTTGTTGCGCTCTAATACAATATTAACATTCATGRAGTTCTATATAAATACAAATTCATACTGAGGAGTAGTGTATGCATATTATAAACCTTTGTTAGCTTTCTTATCTTTTTACAGTGGAATCCTTAACTACTTCTGAATTAGTTATGTTATATTAATTTTTTTCGAAAATAGAGGGAGCCATTAAAGTCTTATSGCAAGTTAATGAGTCAAAATATAATACCATTATAGAGATCATATTAAAAGATCCGTTAAGTTAAGGAGTGGAAAATATAATACCATTATAGAGATCATATTAAAAGATCGGTATAACAACTTCAATTTAATCATATCAAAATTTGAATGTAACCTTGACGAATTTTGCAATATCATATATTATAGTGAGATTTTTACAAAATGTCCAAAAAAAAAAAAAAAAAAGAGTTCTATATAAACTTTGTCATTTTGGACATTGGCTTATAAGTTGAAAGGTAGAAAATTCAAATTAAGTATAAGAAGTGAAGTTTCATATGTGTCACATTAGTCATTATATAAAGTAATCTGATTATAAAGTTCACATTAAAAAATAATATACATTATGGGGTATTTCAAAAAAATATATATACACACATTATGGGAAACTACAACCAAACGTGTTCTTTTATAAAGTTTCTCAAACATTAATTTATTTTCTTTGTATTCAACCTTTCAAAAATGCATTCTTCAATCAATCATAAAATGGGCCCATAAGTATAATATAGTGGTAGCTGTGTGACATTCCCACTATTGCATCCTTAATTCGATTTCTACTTCAAAAAAAATAATAAAAGATCAATTTCTATCTTTTTTTTTTCTTTCTAAGAAAAGAATCTTAAAACCAACTTGGATATGTGGACGTATATTGTAAACTTTTGTTAGGTACCTTATATTTTCAATGTTGGATTTTTAACACCTAAAAAAGATTTTATCGGTTTCATTTAGTTAAATTATTAATATTCATGGAGTTCCATCTCAAAATCAATTGGCAACGAGAAGAATAGCTCATGTCTATTATAAACCTATGTTAGGTTCCCTCTCTTATGTGGGATGCTTAACCTATTTATCTTTCATGCATAAATTATTTTTAATTTTAATTTTTAAAGATAAATTTCACTCAAGAACATATTGTTTTATATTGTTAAGGATTCCACGTTGAAAAGATAAGAGACTTAATTACGGTTTATAATAGATCTAGATATGTGCAACTTCTTGTTAAGGATCCCACATTTGAAAACAGACGGGATCTAACAATGGTTTATAATAGATATGGACTRCCTCTGTTATTGTCGATTGGTTTTGAGATGAAACCCTAATACGAATGGAATTCGGTCMAGATCAATGAACCAAAAACTGGATTYAAGTAAATACCATACTAAAAAGATTAAAAATACTTTAAAAAGGATTTTAAAGTGTGAATATTAGTGCTTCTAGAATAGCAGATACTGATTCTCCCTCTCCAATTGTTGTTGCATCTTTTGTCCTCACTACATCTTATGGCTTCTAAGGAGACAAATCATTGAAATGCTCTTTGAAAGGCAAAAGATTTCCCAATATTTGCCCTATTGGAAAATTGCCCCACCAATCCAACCCTCTGGTTTTTTTGCTTATAAAAGAGCACCCACTGCCCACTCTTTGGCACACACATCATTCTTTTTCCCTTGCAAATTTTTTAGTCCATTTCTCTTCTCTATTCACTTCTTCAAAGCAATTGGAGTTYCCTTTAGTTTTATCTTGCCCTAACTTTTCTAGTTTTTATAAATGGCTTCAATGTCGTCTCATGGGTCTAGTGCATGGACTGCAAAGCAAAACAAGGCCTTTGAGAAGGCTTTGGCGGTGTACGATCAAGATACACCCGAACGATGGCTGAATGTTGCAAAGGCTGTCGGTGGAAAAACTGCAGAGGAAGTTAAGAGGCATTATGARCTTCTTGTGGAGGATGTTAAGTTTATCGAGTCGGGCCAAGTTTCCTTCCCCTATCGGACCTCGGGAGGTGGTAGCCATGGTAACATGACGACTGATGACGAAAAGAGGTATATACAAAAAGAATGGTTGCAATATAGTTAATACATTCTCCTATACTCCCATTCATACTTCTAAGTTTTACTAGTAAAAAAATAAGCCTTCATATTAAGATATTTTTACTTGAACATTCTATATGACACGGTGTCAACTTTCTAACTCATATTTCTATCTCTCGTTAAATAGCTTTAATTTATAATTATATTAAATTATTATAATTACTATAATTTTTAAGTTTATTTCAAGTTAAGCAAGACTTCATTACCTTATCAGATCTTTCAGAAGGTAACAACTATAGTAATATAATGATTGATGATGAAAAAAATATACAAAAAGAACGGTTGCTATTAATTATTTAACGCATTCTCGTATCCTTCATTCATCCATCTAAAGTTTTATTCATGGAAAACCAGTCTTCATATTAATATTTTTAGTCAAACTTAATTTCCATTAAACTACGTCAGAAAACTCCTCTATATATCTATTGACCAGAGAAAACACGTGGCTAAAAGTACATTAAATAACACTATACTAACCCGAATCTATAAGTTTGAGCTTTTCGTAGATGTAGCGACTATAATTAAGTTGATAGTGATATGAAAGAAATGCTTAGAAATTGACCATATTTGTGTCCTATAGTTAGAAATATTTTGTAGTGTTTTAGTTGAATGTTCAAATGGGTGCTCAATGAAAGTAATTTTTGTATGGAGTGAAACCCTAGGCTGTAACCATTGGTTTGATGATGATCTCTAGCTAGGCAGCAAAGTGATGTCTTTATACAGTTTGTATGTATATGAGCAGAGGAATGTCATTATCAGTGAATAGAGGCCCCCCATTTGGCATGGATTCTTCTGTAAACCAATGGCTACGTGTTTCCATAAAAAAACAATAACTCATCTTCTTGTAAGCTTTTTCAAAGGCAACCCCTTTTCATTTCCTTGTTCTTTGAAACTAAAGCTGCCCCTAATGCCTCACCATTGGCCCTTCACACCCAAAATAAATAAATAAATAAATAAATAAATATATATATATATATATAWAAGCATCTTTCTCATTATATTATGGGAATGTTCGGATATTTTTTCAATTAACATTTTTTAATTTATTCTCTCAGTGTTGGTAAATGTTAAATTTGATTGATGATAAACTTACCTGACATATTTCTTGGGGATGTACCGGTTTTTTTATCAATGTGGGATCCTCAAGATTGTGGCTCTTTTGACTCATCAATCTTGGTCGGATCTCATTTTTGAACCGGTTGCTCGTTTGGGTGTTTTAAGCTCTGATACTATATTAATATTCATGGGTTCCATCTCAAAACCAATTGAGAGGAGTAACCCATGTCTATATAAACCTATGTAAGGATTGTTCTTTTATCAATGTGGCATCCTTAACACCGGTCACATGATGTTCTTAAAGCTAGGCAATGAACCCCAATTATAGGGATGCATTAGAATAAGTCATACCTGTCTCTTATACACATCTATATTGTAAACTTTTGTTAGGTACCTTATATTTTCAATGTTGGATTTTTAACACCTAAAAAAGATTTTATCGGTTTCATTTAGTTAAATTATTA